TTGTGGGAGCAGTTGGGCATTGTAAAAGCTGAGCCACTGGAGCCTCAGAAATGACAAGAGGCCAAAGGTCAGTGTGGCGTCGACCCTGAAGCAGGTTATAAGAACTAGTGACCATGTGCTTTCTGACACTGAGGATGATGAATAGTCATTGTGTTATGATTTAATAAATGTCCTGTAATAATAGTATGTGGAATAGTATTGCTGCTCTGGCAGAATTAATGAGCATTTAGCAAACCTGATAGATATTTTCTTTTCATTTTAGTGACAGATTTCAGTTATGGTTGCTTGTAATTTGTCCCCAAAAAAATATGTCCCATGATCTGTGTAACCGGGTATAAGTCTGTTCTCTTCTTTAAACTTACAAAAACTATATTCTTTGACTTGTATTACCTTTCATTAAAACAAATATAGTAGAAGATTTGCAGGAATAATGGCAGACACACTATTAAAAGTTCCCAATGAATAGGCTAGTATTACTGAGAACTGTAAGCAAGAGATGCAGTAGATTATTTATAACTTCTTTTTCATGTTATCTTAAGTATTATTTTTCTTTTCATTATTTTTCTTTAAAAAAACAATAGTTTATCTCAAGTATTATTTTTCTTTAAAATTTCTTTATAATCCAGTGACAGAGGCAAGGGTGGAGACCATCAGAGCTTTTTTCTGTCTTTTCTGTTAAATTAGGACTTCACGCAGAAGCTACACAGCCATGGACTACAACTGTTTCCTTGCCTAATGACATTCAAGGACTATTTCAAGGAACGGTACAATCTCAATAGAATTTTCCTAGCCCAGGCAAGAACACAAAAAGCTGTTCTGCAGCCAGTTGTGTTCAAGGGCTGACAAACTTAATATATCTGAGGCAAGTGTAATAATTTGTTGCTGTCAACAAGGTGTACTATTCTTAAGTTGCGGCTAGTCTGTCTAAGGAAGAATGTAATTGCAATTTCCACTTTCTCCTGTGCCTGGAACAGACATGGTCATTTCAAACATAAAAAAATAGAAAATGTTACAACCTAAATTAGGGCAAGACATGGGTGGTGTAAATCAGGGCTATGTAATTCTTACAATAAAAAGTCTTGATCTAAATAAACAAAATCGAGAGGGCAGATTAAATAAAAGTTAAATAAATAAAAAATTAAAAGGTTAATTCAATCACCTAACATTCAAAATATATTCTGCCTTTGATACACACCAGGATTGCTTTATATATTTGTGTCTCTTGTACCACCAAAGAACAATATAAATATAGAATTTGTATCAGAATACTATATGTTTATTTTTCCTAACAAATGATCATCTTTTAACCTGTTTTACTAGGGGACTATGAGGGAACTACATACCTTAGTTTGTCTTTTAGATCATACGTGTTCAGCTAGAAAAAAGATCCCCTGAGGACACAGATGAAGTCATAGACTGAAAATCACACCATAGATTTAGGATTTTAGGATTACCAGAAACACTATAGAGAATAATGGCTTCAAATTTAGGACAAATATGGCAGAAGCCTTAAGTGATCTGTCCTTGACCTCCTCAGGAACAGGACACATGTCCAGTAGGCTCAAGAGCGTGGGATTAGACGGCTATGTAATGTGCTATTGTGTTGATTTTGATTAAAAATTAGGTAATTGGGCTCACTTGGGCCTTCCTTATAGTTAAGTAAGGTTAATTGGATTGGTAGGTGCTTGAGTATCCTTGCTTAAAGCTTATAAGATGATGATGCAGGCTGTTTTGCAAATCTCACAATGGCAGACAGACAACCTGATCATGCTGTGTCTAATTCTGAAACACTTATCTGAGTTTTTTTTCGGCTCAGGCTGCGACACACACTTTAACCTCATAAGCACTAAAAGTACTTATCGCTTCCGGGATACATTTTTCTACCAAGGCTAATGTTACAGGTTCCGTTAAATAATTGAAAACCACCTTCTTTATATGTTAAAGTGGAAAAGTGATAGCATGGTCTATCTGATAGATTTACGAAAACGTGCATGTTTTAAATGTCTATCATGTACAGTACCTTTTAAATTTTTCTACTTAGTACGTGTTATTACCAATTTGTGATCTAGATGCAGTTTTATAATATATTCTGAAAAGTTTGATTGCTTTTGATTTTGTTTCTTAGTAGTAATATATATATTTTGTGTACCTTTCACAGTTTTTTGTGTGTGTGTCATACAAACGATTAAACACTGAAGGAACGTTTGACTGCATAAAGCTCATTCAAAGATATACAGTATATTATGGATAGAATTACATACAGTATACAAAACTGTTTCTTTGCCAGAGTATTCAGATTTCTTCCTTGCGCGGTTTTCATATTTTGTTGCTTTAAAGCTTGCACTTGTGACACTTTGAAGTAGAAATTAATATTTGTTACATGCACAACCTACTCCATACATTCAAAGCAAAAACATAACGAAAGAAGAAAATACATAATTAATGTGAAAAAAATGAATAGCCATTATTAGATAGGTTTCCAATCCCTTTGCTATGACAAAAAATATAATAATTTTGATTCACAAAATCACCTTTACTAACCAAAAATTTAGTTAAATGGGTTCTGCCTATGTACAATAGTGGACCTTATGATTTCAGAATAAATATACCTGTCAAAGTGGCTGAGAGGGGAAAAAATGTCCTTTGGTCAGAAATATCCTAGTCAAAAAGAAAAGCTGAACCCCTGGGTTTGCAACAAAGAAATCATATGTGATATTGTTATCATATAGAAAAGGGTTTTGTGACCAGACAAGCCAAAATTGTAACTTTTTGGTCTAAATGCAAAGTATTACATCTGACACACACCCTATATACAGTAGTGCATCACTCTGTCAGAACTCTGCTGCATGGTCAGGCATGGTGGTGGCAGCAGTATATTATAGTTTGGCTTCTCATCAGCAGGGACTGGGAAGCTTTGTCAAAACTGGTGAGAACAAGGATGGAGTAGGTACTGGCAAATCTTCAGACCTTATAATCTGACCAAAATTCACCTTTTAGCAGAACAATGATTCAAAGCAAAAAGACCAGGGCTCTGTTGGTGTGGCATAAGAATAAGCAAGTGAATGTCCTTGAATGACTCACTCAAAGTCTTGAATCTGTGAAAAAACTCAAAATCGGCTATTCTTAAGCAAGCCCCATGTAATCTTAGAGGGCTTGAGCAAATCTGCAAAGGTGTAATTATTGCAGCATGTGAGTGTGTAAGTCTGGTCGACACTTACCCAAAAAGACGTGCGTCTGTAATTGCTGGTGCTTCCACTACAAGTTGAGTTCAAGAATCTAAATACCTATGTGATCATTATATAGTATTATGAAGTGTTTATGCTGTGGTGGTGATATTTTTTTATTTCATTTGACTATTTCTGAAAGAATAATAATGGACGGTTATTCTCAGAAAATCTGAAACAGCTATCATAGCACTATTTATTTTTTACTGAACAACGTGAACATTTTTCAGTTTCTATTGAAGGTTTCTTGTTTTTCTTTCCACAAGCGTCCAACAGTCATGTTGTAAAGCACAATAAATTAACAGCTTTGTCCATAAGGTCAGGTGTTTATTGGCTGGTACAGCAGGATGTCCTACTGACACAAGCCCAGCAGAAAGCCTAGCGCTGTGAGTGGGTAACTGCTTGAGCCAGCCAAGCAAGCTAGCAAGTCCCAGCTGTATAGGTTGATGTGTTCTGATTGCTCATAGTCTTCAATCTGTGAACTGGTTTCTGGGTTTAGATTCATCAAGCCTGGTTGCTGTTAGAAAAAAGAAAAGGAAAAAGAACCTCATGTGGGCAGGCATCCTAGGATACACCATTATAAGCTGTTACCAGGGGACCTTCGGAGATATAAATGGAATCTGTGTGGAGTAAATTAGTGTGAACCAGTCAATCTTTGTGTCACTGTTGAACCACATCCATGGGTAACTTGCTTGCTATCTGAAAAGTCTTCTGCCATCTGGAAACCTTGTGTCTGCTTGAAAAGATGATCCTGTGAAACATAAAAATACTGCATGCTGTTGTTACTCTCAGTTTTTTTAATGTAATTTCCATGCTAGGCTTGAGCATGTACTTAACAACATGCTCTGTAAACAACAGGTCACCGAACTCCATCAAATTCACGGCCTGTAATTACAATGTTAGTATATTTTGCCTTTACTGTAAGTGTAATTCATATGTGCAACTGCTCCTAAAATGTGACCTCCCCTTCATGAAAAATATGTGCAATGCAATGCTGTAGCATTTTATACTGGAATTTTATCTTTAGCATTCTTTATTATAAAGATACAATTTTAAATAGATTTAAAAATGATTTTTAAAAAATGATGTGCAGTTACTGGAGAGTACAGACTGGCTTTAAATATTGACTGCCTGTGTGGACTCTATTTTGAGGACAGTCAGTTATGCTGTGGAAATAATGTTTGATAGCTGACATGAACACAGAAGAATATGTTACCAGCTTGCACAAAACAGCTGTCTGTCAATATTTGATATTTTACTGAAAGGTAATCTCTTCAACTAAGAAAAACTTAAAAAATATCTCTTTCAAACTCTGTGCCTTTATTGAAGCAACATTTCTTAATTTAAAATTTAAAAAAATTAAGAACTACAATAGTTTTTGTGCTTTTTATGGAATCATACTTCCCAGAGACACAACCCCATACTGTATATGATTTGAATAAGATGGGTTTGCATCTACCTCATGATAATGTAAGCACTTGACCCCAAATGGAGGAATCTAGTTTAAGGAGCTTTGCTTTCCTGACAACACCTTGATCTCGCTTCTCCCCAGATGAAGCTGCCAGTATAGATTTTTTAATTAATTGTGCATCTGCCAATAAACACTTAAAGGATCTAGTTTATTTCAATTTATTATGTGAGCTTACAAGGTATTTCCTCGGGACTGGATAGGCTTGGAAAGAGAAAAAAGATAGAGAGAAAGGCAGAGAAAGAGGGGCAGGCTTCTTTTTGGAAGCGCATATTTTACAAAGGTTTTTGTCTCCTGATTCTTCACAGCTCCAGTCGGCCTGGTCAAGCATGACAGTGGCTCAGGCTTGGCGAAGGGCCAAGCACAGGAGGAAGTGTCTGACGGATGTATCTTTGAGGACTCTGACAGTACAGGTGAGAGTCATTTAAAGACAGTCACAAAAGTTATTGTGACAAATATGACAGAAGCTTCAGGCCTGCAGAAGCAGTTGCAGAGTAAATTAATGGTCACAGAGCTGGGGTCAGAGTGCAGAGCTGTCACATGTTTGTAGTTTGCAACAGAGTAAAGTGTGAAATTTTGGTAAAGGTAGTGGTCATACTGGTTACTGTTTTCTAGTGAAATGGGTACAATGGAAAGAGATTCTTCAGGTGGAGTTCTTAACACACATTCTTGAGGTCAACGTGATCTCTCTGCAAGATTTTTTAAAATATGTTAGACATGCATGATATTTAAATCAGACGTCATTTTTAATGGTGGCAATGCCTATCAAATCTGATTAATTTCACATATTTCTAGTTCATCATGTGTAAATTCTAGTGGAAAATGATATCTTTCACAGGGCCCCAGTGAAAATGTGGGTGTAAAAAAATCCATCAATTTAAAAGGTAGCTTGCAGTACTTAATATTGTTTTGCATCCTTCTGTCTGAAGACATTTGTACACATTAAAATTTTAAATTAAATAGGCATTAAGTGCATTTTAGTGGACTGGAAATAGCATATTGGAAAGATCAAAAGCAGAACTTTTGCTGTGCTGTGGCCATGACTGAATTATACTCCAGACTGGTATTATAAATGAATGGAATGGAGGATGCTTAAACATGGTTTTTAATTGGCGCCTATATTGTACAGTATATCTATGATTCATTCATTGGAAACAATGTATTGTAGATATCGAAAAATGCCACAGTTTTAGGCTTAAAATAAGTCAAGGTGACAGTGATGGAAAATTTTAGGTGGAGTTTTAATCAAGTAATGCGGAATATTTATATTTCTTGGAGGTATTGTGTTGTACCTACAATACTACAGACTAATTCTGATACTACAAGAAATATGATATCACTCGTCTTGCATTACAGACTAATAATCAGCCATAGGTTGCAAATAACATATGCTCAGGAGAGATCAAATGCAGAATGCTGTTGCCATGACTGAATTATACAGGCATGCTTGACTCAGACTGGTATTGCCTCCCCGCTGAGTAACAGAGAGTCTTTCTCCATTGGGGTTAGACTATGGTTGAGGCTTTGAAACATTCATTGGGACCAAGTGTTAGTACAGTACAAGAAATACATTGGTTTAACATCTTATCATATGGTATGCTATAGTGCTATCACTGGTCAGCTATGTTTGTCTGGGGAATCCCAAAGAAAAACATATTGTACCTTTGGCTTTTTTTATTGTGGACTGTTAAAACATTGGTTTTTAATACAGACAAAGTGCTAATACAGTATATTTAATTTAATCTTTTATTTTTGGAGGAATCATAAAATATGCAAATATTTATTTTTCTGAAATACAGACTTTTTCATAAAAAATTGGAAGAGCAGCTGGTACCAAATTATAATGGAAGTTCGTGCACGACACCAGAATGATGGCAATATTTATACTTTATTTCTTCAGCTATATTTCATGTTTAATGCTAGACCACCCTCAGTCAAGTGAACATTTCATATATATTTTACAGGATAACACTGGTCTGCCAACAAAAGGAAAAGATATGTTTGGATGTGTATCAATCCACTGAAAAGAGTTTCAAGCAAATTTCATAAAATGGGGTTAAATCGAAAATATAAATGTGAATTAACCTGACTGTTTATGAAAATCATCTATCTGTAATGTGTGTTTTTCCTGGGTATAGAGAGTATGTTGCATATAAACATGCAAATTGATCTTTGTTGCCTCATGAGAAGTGAAAGTATAAATAGAACCAAAAGACACCCAGTGAGAGACAATCTTGAACACAAGAACATCTGAAAGTGTATAGATCAAGAAAAATTATTGGTCTTATTTTAATTATCTGATTGCCTGTTGTTTTTTTTATCCTCACCATGATATACACAGTAAAAAATAACATTTAAGTATTTAATTACTTCACAAACAGTAATTTTATGTAATAATAAGTTTGATAAAAATATCATCTGTAATAATGTTAATGGCTCTTAAGTCTATTAAGGCAGAAGAATAAGTTCCTCACAACCATGAACAATTCCATCTGTGACACACAGACTAAGTGGAAGTGTACAGATTTATTTTACTTTTTGTAATACCATGAGCCATAGTGTAAGAAGCAGAGATTAAACAGTGAGTTGTTTATTTTGATGTCTGTATATTCTGAGTGTTAGGATTCTGGTCTCTTTATGTTGTCTTGACTTGATCAGGTCAAAGGAAGGGTTAACGCTTAGTGTTCCTCTTTTCCTGCCTTGTTTTTTTTTAAAACCTTCCCAGTTAATATTTTCTGAGCTCCCTTTCTCTGGTATCAGAGTACTCCTTGCATCTTTGTGTGCTGATCCGTGTATCATATTTTTGATTCATCCTATCTGCAGCCTGTCAGCTTAGTTAAGAGATTTCCAAATCTCACGGCTGACTGTGACAGGGGGCAGCTGCAAACAGTCCCCCTGATCCTTCCCTTAGGAGAGCAGCCAAGATTTAATTTTCAGTAAAAGGGTGCAGTTTCAAATCCGTGTCAGGTCCCTCAGGTCATCTCGGAACTTAGATTGGACCTACCACGTAGGAAATATCTTTCTGTGCTCTCCTTTTTACAGAGACTCCTTGGGAGTTGAGGTCCTGCTCTCCATCTCTACTCACGTGCATTGTCTCGATTCATTTCTTCTCAAACAAGCAACAGCGTGTTTTTAAATAATGCAAGATAGTGTCTCAGGTCCCCCTACAACACAGCCTAATGATTTTTATGTACAGTATTTCAAAGCTCCCTGCACTGTGCAGAAAAAAATGAAATTGCGACAAAGGGCCTGAGCATTCGTATCTCTGCTGCAGTGTGATGGATGCACCTTTTACCTGTCCAGATTTGCTTTCTTCCGTAAGGCTTAGGTTTGAAAGCCTTCATCTGAATACAATCTAACAGGATTTCCCCTACAAGTATTTCTCTACTGAAGTAATTCATCCAAAAGATTCAGTGTCGTCTCGTTACACAGTTATCTTCCCAGCTGAGGTTTTGATTTCAGATATTCTGGAGAATTTTAAAGAGCCTCACTGGATTTGTGGAGAATGTGAACCAAATGGATATGGGAAGCCTGTGCCAAGGTTGGAATAATTTATAGTGAAGAGGCCTGACTACATTTTACAACAGTTTTTGATGACTGATGATGTATTTTTGCAAAGGTTTTTAGATCTTAATTAAAATAATTATTTTTTGCAGCATGCAAACAATCCAGAGTAAAAAAGAAGTCAACAATGATAAGATGAGCAAATACATAAAAGTACTTCGACTGGTTACATTAATGAAAAGACAGAAACCCTATTTTTTTTTTGTCCGGTCCTGCATCTTAGTTCATCTTGCACAGCAAGTCTGTAGAAACCTCTGGAGGTTTTACTGCTGGTCTCACTGCTATCCACAGAGAATTTGTGGCTTGGTTGCCATGGAGACATCGTATTTCTCCAAGAATTGCTCATATTGATCCACGGACAGGCGTGAATGGCCAAACAAGTGTGAGGAATAAAGGGGGGGAGGGGGAAGGAGGCTGGGCGGTAGTATAAAATGACCAGAGGTTACTGGTTAGAAATTAGCTAATAGCGCATACTTAGGCAAAGAGAAAAGAATCTGTTTTGCTTTTTCTCTTTTTTTTCATCCATGCAACACACTCGTACCTTTGTGTCATTGTCTTCCACAAGTAAAGACTGAAAGAAACTTGTTAGTCACTTGTCATGTCAGATCTTTGGTGCTTGTCCTGACACAGCTGTCAGCTCTCCAGCTCTTGTGCAGTGCAGGGACACGCAACAAAGAGTCACTGGCATGAATTATTTATCTTTCTTTGTGTGGATAAAATTCTATGATAAGAAATTAAGATACTTATAGCAAACCCTTTTAGTTCAAAAGGAATTTTACTGTAGTGACAGTGGGGATGCATGTAACTGGAAGGGAAAAAAGAGAGATTGGATTTGAAGGCTGCAATCCCCTGTTCTTGAATGAAGCCTCAAACCTTCATATTGTAGCTGCTAATCCAAATGCAAAAAAAAAATAGGGCAGAATCTTTTACTTTTTTACTTTTCTATGTGATATATTAGAAACTACATACTGTACTTTTTTGTGCAGGTTTTGTTTTGTCTCTTTGTGGGTCAGTAATGATGAAGGATGAAACACAGCATATTACTGAAGAAACATATCTAATATTAACATGCATTAAGGGAAAAAAACGTTCAGCCTGATGGATTTATCTTTAAATAAACTTTTCCTGTGTAAAAATTCATTAGCGATCAAAATTAAATGACTCTGACAAAATCATTAAAGTGAGGTTAAAACAGGACGTTGATTGTGGTTTCATAAAATATTAAGGCACTTCTTGCCAGCGTCATTGATTTGTGATATAAGGGAACTCTCCAAATTTTTCTAAATTATGGAAAATCTATCTGCAGTATTTAAATTAAATTTTTATTACTATTATTATTTGTAGTGGTAGTAAAATAGCATGCTTTGCTTGAAACCATTCTGTAATTAACTGTTACTGTACTGTATGTAGCCCATATATTAAAGATATATACATTATAATTATTTTGTACACTAAAATCTCATGTTTAACAATAGATGAAAATTAGTTTTAACAAACTAACATATATCTGAACTACAGTACAGTATTACTGATTCATTACAATTATGATCAATCCAGATTAAATAACATTTATGATTTTTATTTTATTTTACTTTATGAGTTCTAGAATATTTTAATAGACCAGACATGAAATGACTTTATTTTTTTAATGCAATGTACTGTATATCAATTAGTATGCTTGGTGTAACAGTCAACATCTGCTTTATTTTAAAAGCTTAATTACACTCGTTATGTCCATGACAAGAAACTTAAAGACATGCGAACCTTCTCTGGAGGAAGCTAAACTTTGTGACAGGATTAAAACTAATTATCAATTTAGAGAAACCAAATCTCAGGTGTTAAGACCATTAGATGAAATCCTGCTGCCTTCAACAAAGTTGCTTGTAGGTTTTTCCATATATATATATCCTGCTGTTGTATTGCTTTTAGAAAATTTCCCTTTGTACTTTCTTCAAAGTAAGGCCTGTGGTGTTTCAAAGAGATTTTTATTTAAGGATATTTTATGCCTGGTAAGCCTGAAGGAAATCTATCATCTCTGTAGGTGTTTCCTGTAAAATATCATCAGTCTAAACAAGAATATAATTTGAAAGATTTTGTTTTGTGCTTTGCTCTCTGAGATACAGTAACCTTCCAGTCCTGTAGCAGGGGGTCTTTTTTCTCCCTCACAGCAGTGGTCTTAAAATACACCATGCTTTCTGGGAGTGCACAAGGCACTTGAACTACAGCCTGATTTGCGGTAAATAACACGTCTGAATTATAAGAGAAAATTTAAAGGGGCCAAGGATCTATTCTTATAATTTATATTAGACCTTGCCATCCTTCTGGTGCCCGTGGGCTCCACTCACCTTGCCCAAATGCCTCCTGCCCTGCGTGTGATCAATTGCTGCCATTAGCCCCTGACATTTACTGTGACTTGTAAACTCTTTGTCTGATTACTGTGGCCCGTCACCTGGACTACTTTTGCAGGTTGTAATCAGCAGGCATTCGTTTAACATTAGCATGGCAAACACTAACCTCTTATTCTCCTCGTCTTTTTCCCCCCTTTGTCTCAGGAGGCCTCAGTAGAGAACAGTTTCCTTGCTGTAAAATGTGTTGAAGAAAAAAAAAACTACTCCATCCAACCCTTCCATCCACATTGTTTTTTTATGGAGGCAGTTTGTACAACTATGGGTGTAGGTCCTTGACTTTAAGGGATGCATATGTTGCTTTTGAGTGCCAATTCTGTAGATCTAGAATTACACAGCACATGCCCCTAAGTGGTTTTTACTGCACCTACAGTATGCAAATATATATATATAGCACAGATATAGTGGCTGTACACCAGTACCCAAAGTCTGTGTTTCTTTTTTGGCCACTGTATTGAGTTAGCTACACTTCTTCAGTTTTACCCATTTCCTAGCATTTTTGCCACTAACAATGTAAAATCTAAATATATTTCTAATTATAAGAGTTTTCTACATCATTTATAATTCCAAATTTAATGTGATCAGTTGTTGGGCATTTCCTGTTCCTTAGGGTAATATTTTCAAAATAAAGTTCTCATGTTTAGGGCTGGGTTTATTTTAAAAAAATACATCAACGGACTCTTTATTTCAGGTTTAAATGTTAATCATGAATTTTAGCTTTTGTCAAGGATGTTACTAACTAAAAATTAGATGGTGGGTTTTGTTCTAAGAAAAGGAATCTCGAAGCAATGATTTTAAACAGTGATGTGATTGGATCTTCTGTTGTTAATGAATACACTGAACACTTGCAGATGATAAATTGAGTGTTATATACAGTATATAAAATATATACAGTAATCCACAAACAGTTTTATTGAAATAAAACCAGACCTATAAATGTACCAATAGAAATGTTTGACACAACTGTATTTAGATATGGAAAAATGTAAGATACTGTGCATCTTTTGATTAAAATTGATGGGAATTGTAAAAATACATTTTGTGGTTAAATTTATTTCTTATCTTATAAATGAGTGTTCATGGTATTTTTCTATGACTTGATATACAATCCTCTGGCCATGTAGATGGCAGCAGTACTTAAGTCTTGCAGATTCCTCTCCCTGTCTGATATGAGCTGTCTGGCAGGGTAGGAGGAGCTGTTTTATTGTGCTCACAGCAGACTTTGTCAAATTACATTGAATTGCACATTTGTATTAATCATAGTCATATTATATAATGAGTGCATATTGAGATTTATATTTACATTTTTCTTTTCTGTATTTGTCCTTTTTTTTTATTTGCCAATAATAAATATGGTCCTGCAAAAAATACACACATGTATATGCCTATTTGTTTGTAAAACCATGTTTACACCTGCTACACATAGTGTGTATATTTATGAATGTATCATATTTGTGTGTGCTGCAGCTTTCTTCTTCACCTTTTCAGTGTTTCTGGTCTCTGTGTGTACATTGTGGATGTCATGATACTAAGAATGTCCCAGGCATTTGGCTGTAGAGCAACATTCAACTGACTGATGTCATCGTTAGATAATATGGCATTACAATAAGTGCAAAGCCTTGCGTAACCCATTTGCAAAATGCATTTTCTCGTACTTAGCCCTGTTTCTTTCATGTCTTCAGTGGATCAAGTTTCCATTGCCCCTCCTCCCTGACTTTCCTAGGCCTCAGGAGATATTGAGATCTGCTTCTATCAACCCCAAGAACACCTCCAGCTACACCTGTGCATAGGCACCTACGCATTTCTTGAGTGTTCTCTGGACTGCTGTGTACTTCTCTTAAGAGCACTGCCACTGTACATCAAACTGACAGCAATTTTAAGAGAACAATGATGCTGAAAGCTCATTCACAAAGCAGAATGAATTCTGTTTAATACTGTATGTATGTTCACGTGCATTTTAATTGGAATGTGCACATGAGAAGTGCAATCAGATAATGTCAGTTTCTTGTATTCACAGTAATATAAGTTCTGATGCAAACTGACTAAAATGAAACCCTACACTAAGAGTGGATAGGTTTGGAGTGCCCCTACTATAGAACAGCCATGTAATTCTGCAGAATAGAACCATCCTTGCTGCCAGTGGCTTGACTTAGACTTAATTAAAGGAGCTTAATTAATCAAGGGTTTGAACCTGGGTCATGTAGCTAGCTGACTGAGACTGGAGTTCTCCAAGTGGAGGCACACAATGGGCTGAGCACCACCAAAGATGGGATCTGATGGTCTGGGCTCTCTCAGCTCACAGTAGCACAGTGCCTGTAGCTTTCAAAGGTTTTTCATACCCTTTATGTAGGGTCCAATGCTCATTTACTGCTTAAGCCCCTTATCAGCTTGTCTTCTAATATTGTTAGAAGAAGACTATTTTATTCATGGCCATCCAAAAAAGTTAATGCATTATCTTAGCATCCATGTTCACATATGCTTGGAGAGCGAAGACAATCTCTAATCTGTTGAAAGTTACTATTACTTATTAATGGTCATCATTAGGGTGTGTGATTTGAAAACATTACAAGCTTTCATCAAGATAAAACAGAGGCTTTGGCTTCCTGGTATAATTCACTATAGCTTGAATATTTTATAAAGCTTGTATCATTTTTATTGTCAATAACCTGATGTGTTCTGGCTAGCCTAGGCAGTTAGTTGAATGACATCGATATTTAGTCCAAAATGGATATGTTTTATTAAGTGCTGATTAAGAGGTTGAACACATCTCTTAATATCTCAACTTTAAAACGTACGACAGTGTGAAAAAAAGATCATTTTAACGGTATACACCTCCTTCAGTAAGTGACTCTTTTTCTTATTTCTGCGATATGAGTTACCGATGAACTGAGAATATTAATGAATACTGTAGCAGTGTTCCCTAGTGCAGGTATTTGAAATCATACATTAGGCAGACGTCTGGCTTTAAACAGGATCAAACATCTTGAGCCTTTTTTTTCTTTTTTTTTTGAAAGATTAAACATACTCCCAAGTTAAAAGGCTTTACACACGCTTTCATGAGCAATCAGAGAGCCCTTCAGCAAAGGAATAGTCAGTTGTGTTAAATACGGGCTCATGTAATTTAAGGTCAACAAACTTGTCTCCCCGCAACACACCTAAATGCACACCTTCCTGAAATGTTTTCCTAACACAAACACTGGACTAATTTGTATGCAGCAGATACAGTGCAAAATCATGTTCTCTGTGAGAACAAATCCCAGGAAAGGAACAGTAGGCATCACATATATACATTTAGCATATGGTATGCAATATTATTACTGTTGTCTCAGATCTCAGGTGAAAAAAATAATCAAACGACTTAAATCAGATCAATCATAAATTAATCCTCACCAGTCACCTTTAACCCTTTGTGCATTTCTTGCAGCTACTTGGTGAAATTTGTAAATCACATGGCCCACATCCCGTCCATGCCCACCGGCCCCCTCCCTTTTGTTTTTTTTTCTCCAGGCTCACCAGATCTTATAGGCTTCTCACACAGCGACCCTTCAACATTCCCAGTCAATCTATTTTTTTTCACCTCAAGGTTGTGGACTCCGCATTGAACACAGTGTGTTTCAAGTCAGTCCAGTTGCCTTAAAAAGCAGTGCACTCTGCTTGAATGAGCTGGTAACCTTGACATAAAATCAATAGGAACCGAAGTCTTTGAAGAATCACAAATGTAATAAGTGCTGGGGCTCTCAGCTCTGCTGCATGTCTTTTCTGCCGTGCGGAAGGGTGCTCTGTGGAATAAACGGCCAGCTCTTGGGTGAACTGCATTGTGATTTTTCTTTTTTTCTTTGGTACAGTAGATTACTTTCCTGCTGGTGGTTATAGCTCGGCACAATGGAAACGTCTAGATTTTGTTTTATGTTCCTTTCCTCCCATTGCACAAGTGCTGCACTAGATCTGGGAAGTATTACACTTGGACTCATACACGATCTGAGGAAACCTGATCTGGAACTTTCTTCACCCTCTGCTGTTAGTGAGCAAACAGGTGCAGCAAACATTCTCCACATCTTAAAACAAATGCTAGTATCTTTCACAAAAACTGATTTCTTTAAAAAAAAACTTTCTTGTATGTATGCTATGTATGCTATTTTGTGTTTCTAAATTACCTGAGGTATTTATTTTAGCTCTAGAGGCTGTAATACTGTATATATCTGTTATATATCTGTTGGCAGCAGAAGGAAGCCATGCTAGGTTCATTAAGGGATAATGCCGATCTTTATTGAGATAGAGTTCACTCAGTCCCTTACCATTGCTTGTAATACTGTAGGTCCTGTAATTAGGATTTAGTGTGTGCACTAAATATTCATGGTACTAGGTATTCATGATAAGAATAACAGCTACTAGCAGCCAAGACAGCAACTATTATTCATTGTGCCAACAGTAATTAAAGGAAGAATTGAAAGATTTATTAATTTACCGTGCACGTTTTGTCCACTTAAGAGATCCTCTGAAAAAACTGTTAAAAAACTGTTAAAAAGAAATTAACAGTGGGTTGAAAATTTGTCTTTTCCTGCTGTCCTGTATTTCATGTGTCTGTTTTTGTTTATCTATTAAAGTTTGGAAGCAAAAATATGTGGAGATTTTAGTTTTCTTTGTTGTTTCGTCATTGTGGTGAAATGCGAATGCGAGAGGGACGGTACCGTGAATTCCAAATCAAACCAGGTTTGGAAGAGCCCTCTCCTGCCTTCCCTGAGCGTGCATCTTGCTAACACACTTCAACTGTTGTAATTGAGGAAGAAAATTCAATTACCATTCTCTTAGTAATATTTTTAAAATAAGGTCTGAAATCCGAAACTGAAAAAACTACGCTGTGAAATATATCCCACTTCCATTAGATCTGCTGTTATCCCCAATGTCTTACCTGTGGGATACTCATCATGAGGAGAGGCCAATTAAATGAAGCACTGGGCTTCCAATGCTAGCCTGTCAGTTTCATTGTGCTTTTGAACCTAGTTTAAATGTTGTACAGTGTAAGATGTAATGATTTAATATGAAGAACTGAGGGCTCTGTTTTTAGATATCTTACATTTCAGTGTAGATGAAGCGAGGCTAAAGAATTAAATATACACTGTGTACACAAAGGAAAAAATCCACTTCATTTTGTCAGTTCTGCCAAGTCAAGGTTTTGTTCTTTTTACAGTAAAAGAAAGGTTTTTTCTGTTCTGCCAGACACTCGTGCTCTTTGTCTAGGCTGAATTGTGTGGTGGAAGACAGCTGAAAGAAACTCAAAGTAGTTTCATGTGTCTAGAGACATGTTTGTTGCAGTTCAGAATATCCAGTCTTCATCTACTTCTTTTAAGGCTGCACTTATAGAAAATTCACAGTTATAGAAACATATTTTCAAAATGTGACTTGAAAAATTACTTTCACATTGTGTTTCACTCTCAGACAAAAAGTTCTTGCGTTTTCTTCTATGCAAAGAAATAACATTCTGAATTTAGCATGTCTAAATTCATTTGTCTTTTGAAAATATAGAAAGAACTGTTACATTCTGGTACAGGTAGGGTTAACTGCAGCCCTTATTTTGGTTATCGTAATATGAGACAAAAATAGTAATACAGGAAGTGAATTTTTTATGAGCATTTGTTTGCTTTGACTGGCTCTGTGTGCTGTCTCTTTTGCTTAGATCTGTGGTTCTGCTCAGCCATCAATCGTTAGTCTCTCTTAAAGACAAAAGGTATCGGTTGAACAAACTAAAACAGACAGTTTCCTGTAATCATCTCCAACATCATCTGAGCTGGATCATAGCAGAAGCTGATCAATAGTGGAGTATTTAAATATGTTAGAGCTTGAATCTGATATTCTGCATGTTGAACTGCATAAACAGATCAATAGGCTACGATTGATCTCCATTGATATTCAGCAGCTTTCAAATACAATTAAACCACCTTTTTGTGCCATTGAAAACACTTGCTATAAACAATCGACTACTGCTTATAATTTAAACAGCAGCTAAAAAGGCTGAATGGATATTGCAGCAGGTTCAGTTAGCTTGCTGTCAAGGGAACAATACGACTGTATGCCTCAGTGTTTAAGGAGACAGACTTGGAAGCAAACAGTTTAGATCCCTTTAGAAACCGACTCAACTCTCTAGTTTCTTTTAAAAGCCTTTTTTTTTGTTTCTGGACCTTGTTATAAAGCATAAAAACACATTTACCTGCTATTCTGAATCTACAGTACAGTACTATACTCTATTACCATCTACAGTATGCTACTCCTATGAATAGTGTCATCCAAAGGACAGTACCTCCAGTATGCAGAGTGTCCTCATCGCCATACTGAAGCTCTTTGTTTGGAAATTCTGGGCA